TGAGCTGGGCCTAATGCCTGGAAACCTGCTCCAGTTGGGGCTATGCCATCTAATCTTTATGTCCCATTTATGACTGCTGGGGTTGATGATGCCAACCCACGTGTCCAAGATCGCGAAAACCATTATATTAGATGCACCTCTATTCCAATGGCATATCGGGAGGTCTTTTTCACTTGTCCACAGTTCAACCTCATCACGAATGAGCTCTCCCCATTTCAAAAGATCAATCTGTTGAAGCTGTGTGCATCTCTCCGGCAAACTGTGCCCAACACCTCCTTCCAGAAGTGTTCCTTGATTAAACACTACTCTGACCATTCCTTTTCAATATCTAAATATATATCTTGTACCAAAAATTTGTAACAGCCAGTATGTATTGGATTAGAATTCATCTTGAGCTGATCACAGGGGCTTTTGAGGGAAAGAACCTCCTTTTTTCTAATCTGGTGTTTGCCTGTGGAGGAACATCTTTTAATGTAACACTGGTTTTTTTTTCCTGGGTTGGTGATTTGGGAGACAAGGAATAATACATGTAGCTTGGCCCCTCCTCTGCTCTGCTCCTCTATTCTATAAATGTCAGGGGGTAAGGCAAAGGGCAGGGGAGATGGCTGGCTGGAGATGCCTGCAGTTCTTCAGTGCTACCTGTGACTGGTAGGTAAGTCTTTCTCTCCCTCAGTTGGCTCTGATCATGGACAGGGAAGGAAAATGCTATGTATTGCCCCTCCTCAAACCTTAACAACTGAGGACTGTTTCTTTAAATAGATAATAATCCATTCCAAGGGCAGGAGACCTGCTCTACTTTCTCTGTCTTACCACGCTACACCTCTATTCCAATGGCATTCAATGTAACATTATCCACAGGGCCATGTGAGGCCACTGTGTCACTCAACTCCAGAGGGTGCCATCGTGAAACTGTACACCCTACCTCGGCAGGGAAGGTGCTTTAGGAATGCTTGCTGAGTTTTAAAAAAAATAAATCCTATTTCCAGTGTCTTCTTGGTCACTCAGACCTGCCTCCATCCCACATTATCACGACCCAAACAATCTAAGAAAACAAGTAGAATGGACTTAAATGTTCATTTTGGAATTCTTCCAGAGGAGAAGATGAGTCCCTCCTAGGTGGCATACACCAGTATTTCAAGCTTTTCCATTGAAGAGCAAAGGATTTTTATTTATTGAAATATTATTCAAAGTCTCAATATATGAAACAGTTGCCTCAAGTGAATGTGAACTATCTAGAACCTGGAGCCCCACCCAATCCAGTTTCCCTTCTACCCCTCTGAAGGCCCCAAAGATATTCAGAAACCCTTTTGCTCCATTCAAACATTGCCTTCCTGCGGGCAGAGGTTGTGGCAGGTGGCCTCCCGAGGTCTCTCCCAGATCCCAGATTCTGCAGCAGGATCCATTCCATCAAGATACTAGAGAGACAATAAATGCACAAATATTCACATACATGCACAAAATAAGGAAGAGGAAGTTAAAATTCTGCCTCCCTACCCAAGCATCTACCATGGAAAATTGAGAAAAGCAAGTACTTGATATCCTGTTTCTGCAAAAAGGACAAAGAAATCCCCTATTAAAGAAATCTCCTATTAAAGAAAGATCAATGTAAAACCCAAGAACAACACAGCATCTGACAACCCTACTGATGGCAGAGGCTGCTGCTCCTGGGAGAGAGGCTCTTTCCTGGTGGAGAATGCCCAGTGGTAGGGCAGTTCCAAGTCAGGCACCTCTTCTTGGTCACTGATTCTCATCCCTTATGTAGCTCCCTTAGGTTATGTAGTAATAAACCTCACAACCTAACTTGGCTTTGGGGTTCCTCAATCCGAGCAACCTGATACCAAAACAGCAATGCTCAGGTGTATGAGAGAATTTTCGGCCTCTATCAATCTTCCTCCTACCCCAGGCTTCCTTCCAGGTACTCTCTTTAACCAGGCATTTGGGCATCCAGACCATGTTCAACAGCAACAGAATAGCCCAAGCCACTGTGATTGGCTCTTGGGAAGGGCCACATGGTGCTGGGCCATTCTGATAGGTCCAGAAACTAGACTTAGGAGTGGTAGTGTACCCTAGAAAACAGATCAATTGATCTGGGGTCAAATTTATTGAGACAAATGACAAGTAGAGGATTCGACAGTACCAGGAGGAAGCAGTGGCCACTGGGCATTAGAACATATGATTTAGAGTCCCAAGCTCTGAGTTTGAACCCTTTCTCTTCATTTATTGTGTACCTTGGCTGCACTAATTTAACTTCTTTCAGCATCAGATTTCTCATTTGTAAAATGGGGATAATAGACCTACTTAATATTAAGTAACAACGCTCACATGTCTGACACACAGGTGCTTAAAACTATTACATTCCTTTATTCCTTCCTTTTAAATTCCTCACCTATAAGATTGAAATGCCCAATCTCACTTCACAGGGATGTCTGAATGACTTAAAAAGACAATATATCTCAAGGTGTTTAATGAAACTCTGAAGCTGCCTCTGCCCTTTCTGAAGGAAGAAGGCCAGTCTCAACCATAACAAGGGGAAAGCTAGAAAAATAAATGCTTAAGCCTCAGCATAATTAAAATAGCACGGAAGAGCATAAAACAAAACTGAAATAAATGGGGAGAGTTGCATTGCTTGCAGATGAGGAGATTCAATTTTGTAAGATGTCAACCCTCTCCATTTAATATATAAATCTAATGCAATTTCAGTAGGAATCTCAGCTGTTCTTTTATTTGTTTTTCTTGGAGCTTGATGAATTGAAATTCAATTCAAATATAAAAATAAAGGTGTGAGCATGGCCAA